TTTCTGCACATTGTTTGGTCTCAGCAACATTCAAGAATCTCAGAGAAGTTTCCATGCTGTCTCACTCTTGTATTTTTATTCCCTCAAAAGCAGAACCATGTGAATGACACATTCTGCTTCCAGCTTGAGCTGTTCTCTAGCCTCCATGGAACATAATTGCAGTGGACTCTAGGTTTCTCAATAGACAAATATGTGAAAAGACTTTTCTAGGTTTCTGCTCCTGTAGGATGCTCAGATTCAGGCTCTCTATCTTTAGAGTATGAATATTCTCAGAGTGGATTCTGGGTCTTGTCCTCAAGGCATTTTCCTAGTGCCCAGGGGAAGAAGCTATGTTACTTTCACACAGGACTTGTACATCACTTCCAACAGTTACAGGTACTTTGGAAACTAGTTCATTTGAAACTTTAAATGCATTCATGCTCCTCTTTCTTTACCCATCTGGATGCTTGTCTGTGTCTCACTGCTTCATTTATTTCCCTTTCACTGTAGACCTGGATAGGAGAAATTAGAATGAACCACAGTGAAGCCTGATTGCTATACTCTATTGAAATTTCCTCTGCAAAAAATGAGTCCATTTCCATAGAGAAGTCAGGAAACTTCCTACCGACCATTTAGCTTTCATACTGCCCAAAGGTGCTGTAGGCTGTTGCAGGAGAAGAGACAGCAGTGATGTTATGCAGTGTTGGAGTCTGCATGCTGCAATTCCAATCTGTCACACACAAAGTGCCTACTGGTACAATAATGGTATGATAGTTATGAGGTAACTAAATGCTTTATGACATATGATTGCCTAAAGCAGTGTTTCTCAACCAGTGGGTCACAACCTTTTTGATGGTTTAGCAAATGGGAGCCACACATCAGATATCTTGCTTATCATATATTTTTTGGTTTTTGTGAGACAGGGTTTCTCTGTGTAGCTTTGTGGCTTTCCTAGATCTCACTCTGTAGACCAGGCTGGCCTCAAACTCACAAAGATCTGCCTGGCTCTGCATCCTGAGTGCTGGGATTAAAGGCATGTGCCACCACTGCCCGGCTGCTTATCATATATTTACTTTATGATTGACAAGAGTATCAAAATTACAATTATGAAGTAGCAACAAAAATAATTTTATGGTTGGGGGTCACCACAACATGAAGAACTGTATTAAAGGGTCACAGCATTAGAAAGGTTGAGAACTCTAATCTAAGAAGAGGTAAAAGCATTCCATTCTACAGGGAAACTGCTAATTTCAGGAAGCAAACTACTCAAAGTCTTCAAGAAGTCCCTGAAACTGACAAAATTCACCATACCCCTCCCTCCTCAAGCATTTATAACCCGTTAGAACTTCAGAGAGACACTCATAGACAAGAACGGGTGCCTAGAATAGACACTCTAACATGTCAGGCTGTCTGATAGCTGTGCTGTATGCTCCAGGTTTCCAGTTTTTGTGAGCCATCACAGATGTTGAGGTGGGCTTTGGGTAATGTATCTGTCTTTGAGTCATTTTGCCCAATAAAAATTATTGGTTTATCAAGTAGAAAGTCGGTGGTATTCTTACTTTGGTCTCTCATTGCTTCACTGTCTGGAGTGAGTAGATGTTGTTTCACATCATCCCAAATATAGCATCACACAGCAGGTCCTACATTCTAGATTATCTATAGGAAATTGTTGAGGTTAAAGCCATGGTAGATAGAAGAATTCAACAGATAAGTGTTTGTAGTCTTGTATCTGTATGTTTCTTATTATGATTCTTTCTTTAGAATGACAGCTGTTGAATATTGATGTACTTGAGCACCAAAGAGAATTTCAACCTGCTTTCATGTTACTTTTACATATGAGAGTCTGTTATGATCTCTTACGATCTGTGGCTATTGGGGAGCACATTTCAATCACTGAGCTTCAGTTTCTCCCTCTGCATGCCAGAGACAGTAATATAACCATATTAAGAAGTTAAAGTCAATAAAACAAAACAGGAATGCATTAAGATTTCCTGAGCTACCAATCCTACTCTTCTGGCACACTGTATCCAAGATTTTCATTTGCTTTTCATTAGCAGACAAGTTCTTTGCCACAAGTTTTCTTTCATATTTCTGATTATTCCTCAAGTGCATTAGGCATGTTCTCAGAACAAGACTGCATGAACATGTCTGCTTCTTTCTCACCCCCCATGAGGGAAAACCTGAACAAGGAACCTCTGCAAGACAATCTACACACTACACAGGAGATCCCAGATGACATTACTTCATTTGCATTGAGTCTATGCATAGATGCCTGGTCAATGGCAATTTTTAAGGAAAACTGTGAATTTTATCTAATGAGTCTTGGAGGAAAAACTTTTTAATGTACAAAAAATGAATCTAGAAATGTTACATCACCTGATAATAGCAAAAGAAAAACAAAACCATCACACCACCACCAACACAACAACAACAAAAGAATTGAAAGATGAAGGCAAACAAGCAGATGAAGAAGTGACTATGTTGTACCATGAAGACATCCTTCTACTATAACTAGTGTCTTTCAACAATCAGAGGTGTGTAGGTAAAAAATGGGAAGATTTGGTGAATGGTTTTTGGTAATCTCTGGACATAATAATAACACTGATCCTGTTGCTCAATATCCCACAGATTACAGTTCCACTGGAGTTAAATTAGGAGTGTGTACACAATTATTTTCCAACAGTCCAAACTAGAAGATGTCTCACTCCTTCAGGGACAGGAAATACATAGTCTGTGGATTACTGTGAAAAGGAGACAAGACACTTCAAAAGGGTAAAAAGGAAATATGTTCACAAATATAAACTTATTTTTATTTTCTAAACAAGGTTTATTGTTATTTTAAGTATCTGAGCGTTCGGCCAACGTGTATGTGTGTGCTATTTGTGTGCTTGGTGCATGTAGATGTCAGAAGAAGTTGTCAGATCCACTGTACCTGGTGTTACAGATGGTTGTGAGTCACTATCTTAATCAATGTTCCATTGCTGTGAAGAGACACCATAACCAAGGCAATAATTACAAAGGAAAGCATTTCATCAGTAACTGTTTACAGTTTCAGAGGTTTAGTTCATTATCATCATGCTGGGAAGCATGGAGGCATGCAAGCAGACATGGTAGCTGAGAGTTCTACATCCTAGTTTATAGACATCAAGAAGAGAGAGTCACAGGGCCTGGCTTGGCCTTCTGAAACACCAAAGCCTACCCTCAGTGACAAACTTCCTCCAACAAAGTCACACCTCCTGGTCTTCTCAAGTAGCACCACTCCCTAATGACCAAACATCCAAATATACGACCCTTTGGGGACCATTTCTACTCAAACCACCATAGCCACCATATAGGTGCTGGGAACCTAACTGGGTCCTCTGCAAGAGAACAAAGACTTCTTAACCATGGAGTCATATCTCTAACCTCACTTGAATGATTCTTAAAAACTCACTTGTTGGAGCTCTCCCATCAAGGTTGTGGTATAGGTCACAAGAGACAGTTTCAGCCAGTACAGATTGATATGTGTCACACCATATTTCTATTTCAGGTATTGGCTGAGCATGCGTGTATTGTCAGTGAACCCTTCTGTTAGGTCATTTACACAGAGCATAACCTTTAGTGGACCATAAGGAAGTCATTTGTGAACTGCACTGCCTCTTCAACTCAACTTAACCAACCAATTTGGATGTCCAATTTGATATTGATATTGATACAATATTAGATACTTTACAGTCTTACCATCTATTACCTTCATAGAGATTGAACTTTTTCAGGACCTGACAGCTAATTTAATAATATACCTTGAGATCACTTAAAATTTATGCTGATACCCTACTACATATACTGTTTTGATTAAAAAGCCTTTAAGACAATAATGTCACAAACAACTTCACTAACCTTTGATTTCCCATGTAATGAGCTTTTACAACCTAAGCTAATGCACAATTTTAATCTTAAATTATATATCCTTCCATGCCCCTGATTCAGTAATGCATGGGTGTGTTGTGGTAATCATTTGCTGAGAGCAGCCCATAGGTTGGAAGCAATTCTATAAGTAAATATCACCTATTAATGTTGCAAATAACACACAGATATAACTTGGTAGTGTATGCTTGCTGTACTTTTTTGGTATTCTGAGGTTTCAGTGTTTGTCAGGGTCAGTAAATTATTTCCTCCCCTCCATAAAACTCTTCTAAAGATTTCTGTAAAGAGTCCTTCATCCATTGTCCATGCCATGCTTTCTGTGCTATCCAATAAATACAGGGCTAAGTCCTTTGTTAGGGACATATACACAAGCAGTAGGTACACACAGGTTCACAAGTACAGATGACCAACATACCATCACATACCACAGAGAGAGAGAAGGCACAGGGGAAGAAGAGAAAAATTCAAGCTTGGGCTTGTGACACTAACATATTCTGGTCCTATGGGTGTATTTTTAAAACACTTCACTGACACTAAGAATACAAAAATAATAGTGAGCAATGCCCATTAATAATAAAGTATAAGGCAAATATATACAGAAACCACAAATGCTGCAAAAACGATAATAAAAGAAATGCATGGGGAATTTTAGTTTATCTAGGGATGATGTGATTTATTTTCTTCATCAATTTTGTTATTAAATGTGATCATTCATCTTCTAGGGTATACACAGGGTTCCACAGAGAGAAATATGCATGTTTATATATTTATAAATGGGGCTTGTGTGCAAAGATTCAATGTGTTTTGCAATATAGACAGCCCCATAAACATCAAAAGACATTTAATGTCAATCACTCTATTGCATTTCTGACAAACATCTATGACCTCTGGTCTTAACAAAAACATTGGTTTAGTTACTTATTAATTTTCTAGGGAAAAGAACTAAAAAGAAGTCAAAATGTGGTTTAACATGAACTATCATGAACTGTCAACTGAAGATGTCACTCATATTCTCCATACCCAAGGAAGATACACTGTTGATCTTTCTACTAACACTAGTGACTACTCCACCCCCTTTCCCAGCACATAAATACTGCACAGTGTCTTCACAGATTCACACCTGAACTCAGAAGGAGAATTCATGTCCTCACCTACTAGGAAAAGAGAGATTTCTTGAAGGAAAAGAGCAATGGACCTGATTCCAAACTTTTCCACAGAGACATGGGCACTGCTGGCTACCATCCTGGTGCTCCTCTACCTGTGAGTAATTGATTAAATGTCTCCCTTTTGTGGGCTCAGAGGTGAATAATTCTCAGGCCCCCTTTCCCTGTCAGAAAATCAAAAGGTATAATCCAATGAAAATTCATACTCCCACAGCTGAACACATTTCCCCTGTAACCTAAATAATTTAATTCACTGTGCTTTTAAGCTAAGTGTTTTTTCAATAATGTTAAAAGGCCAATATTGGGAGACAATCTGGAGCAGGCTGAAAATGATTGCAGTCCCTGTTTCTCTTGTTGTTTTCTGTCATTAGTTTGTCACATGGGGAAAGGAATGTGTGTAGAATATTGAAGCCACAATGAGGGAAACGACACCTGAGATGTTACTTAGACTCAGGCCTGTCTGTCCAGAGAGTATTGTCACAGAGATTGTTGGATTACTGACAGTAAACTAAGTGCCTGTGGCTGATCATCTAAGTACAGAAAACGGCCGTTGTGCTTTCTAGGGTCTAGGAAGAAACAGAATGGAGAGATTATGCTTTCTGTAGTTCATTGCCTCATGAGTTTATATGGATAACACATTGAGCTATTTGAGTTTTCTGGGAAAGATGGGAACAACTATCCTTTGACCTCAGTAGGGCACAACTGACAGATCAATGTAGCCATTCCTCCAAAGTCCACCCTGGAGAGACCTGAGTTTATGAAGTTATTACAGGAGTGTGTTTGAAAGGTTACTTGGAGGAACATGAATGGTTCAAAGACAACTGTAGCATCAAAACCCCACACCTGAACAGAGGACTCCCAAAATTGGTATCTTAAAAAATATATTTTTATATTGCCCCTATGAATGTTTTGCATGAATGTATGTATCTGTATCATATGTATGCCTGATGCCGATGTAAATTAAAACAAAGCATTGGATTCTCAGGGACTTTAATTATATACTGTTGTTAGCTCTCATTTGGGGGCTAGAACGAAACATGGGCCATCAGCAAGTGCAGAAAATGCTCTTACCTGCTGAGCCATCTCCCCAGCCCAAAAACTGCACTTGGGAAGTTCTGCACACATTTAAGTCTGAGAAAAAGGAAAGGATAGAGTCTTGTCATAGGGCTCTGCTGGTGGACTATATTCCCCCTCTGAACAACCACACTATTTACTGCTTACTAATGTTGAGGATGGATCATGTGGATCTTGCACTGCAGGTTATTCACACTGATAATATGTGACTACTTCCTAAGTCTAGTGAGTCCTTTAGCAACATCCAAACTCAAGTTTATAAAGTTTTATTAAATGCTAACTCTAAGACTGGGACCATCAAGTGTTGACCTAAAAGTTTATAGTAAGACGGTGTATGAAGGGGATTAGTTCTCTGAATTTTTATGTTGTATTCTTCCCACTTGTTACCTCACTGAAAAATTCTGGTAATTCTCAATATTTGCATCCAAGAATATATATATCATATACACATATCATATATATACTCATATATACATGTATATCTACTCATATAATACATATTGAGTCAATAATATACATGAATTAGTGTATATATGTAGACATAACTATGTATATTTTTATATTGCAAGTGGGAATATGCATATTTATGTATGTGAATGATTATGAATATTTACATGTATGGTTAACAAGCCCATGATCCGACTGACTTTTTCCTCCATGTTTTAGGTATGGAACCTCTTCTCATGGACTTTTTAAGAAGCTGGGGATTCCTGGCCCCAAACCTCTGCCTTTTGTTGGGACGATGCTTAACTACAGGAGGGTGAGTGCTGTTGGGTTCCCTGCTTTTCTTCTGTGACAGTGTCACTTACACAAATATTAAACCCCATGTCAGTTCATCCATTCTAATGGACATTGGGATCAATTGTAAGGCTTTCGGCTGGCAGAATTGTTTTTGTCACACCCACATCATTGCCAGGTTACCCTTGGGTTTGACTAACATGTGTTTGTGACCTCAGGTTTGCGGCAGGTCAGGTATGACTTCAGGTTTGTGTCAGGGCAGGTGAGGACCCTGGCTGTTAGCACACTAGGACCTGAAGTTAAATGCTGATGTGTAGACTTTGAGAGCATCAAAGATTTCGTTTCCTTTTTAGTACAGATTCCAGAAAAGTACAGTTATTCTTAATTAGTATTTAAAGAAATACATGTAAGGCCACTGAGTAGCACCTCATCAAACTGAGTGATTTATTCAAATCTAAGTTAAGTAATAATATTTATACTCCTTGCTGGGTATCTGTAGAACATACCTATCAGGAAGCACATAGTTATTTCTGGGGACTATGCACATACTTGAATCCTCAATTGAACTGTTTAATCCCATTATTACTTCCAAGGCTCTAGCCAAGCTTTTGCCACCTACAAGAAGATTTGCCTTTACTCCTTTTCACTTCAAGGTATAACCCTATGCATGAGTCTAAAGAGCAGGAATATGGGAGACTAAATGATGTTGCCTATAAAACAGACTGTGAGTTTTGTTTCTTGAAACAGAAGCAGAATCATTTATACAAAATCGCTAATAAAAGCGTAAGTTGACAAATCTGTGAAAAATATACATGTAGTATGTGAAATATATATATGTATGTATATATATAATTGTATATGTATATACATATACATGTACCTATATAATAGGGACTGTGAATTTACACAGAGCATTTCTGGATGCTTTCTAAAGGTTGGACTCTTGGCCTGTCCTTCCTGAGCTCCTGCGCAGGAGCAATGCCTACATGCAGGCTGCACTCTTGCAAGATTTACTTTTCTGAATTCAGATAGTTTACTTATTAGATCATAATTCTTCAAAACCAAGGATTCCATTGCATAAGTTACTAAGAATACCATGCTTTGCTCCCAATTGAAAACGCAATAACTTCCTTGTCATTTTTGGATGAACTCTTCCTTATGTAGTTTTTGAAATATACTTCTTGGGTTTTTGTTTGTTTGTTTCAAGTAGTGTCTCCTGTAGACAAGATTAGTCTCAAACTTGCTGTTCAGAATTTGACCACAGATTAATCTTACTCAGTACTTGGATATACCATGATATCCTATTTATAGGTGACTAGGTATTAATAGGGATGTGGTTATACTATGATGACCCAAAGCTGCAAGAATAAGAGTCACAAAAGGTGAGGCTTTGTGAGGGAGTACCAAGGGAAAGAAATAAAAAAAGACAGGACCTGAGACTTGGAAGTCTTGCATAAGCTGATGACTTACACCAAGGAAGTTTATTAATCAGCATAGATCCTTACATACTTACTATTTGCATGAGGAAATGGCCAAGGTCAGCTGAGAGCTAAGTCAGACAATGTTGGCAAAGAGAACCCAGGATACCTCAGACACAACTGCCTTATGACTGATAACCACAACCCAGGGAAAAGATTAGGATCCCCATAGAATACACCCAAAACTTCTTAGAGGCCCTGGCCCCAGACCCAGAGAGAAACTTGTCAAATCTGTGTCTGAAAGGCCACAGAATTGTAAAGCCTTTTGTTCTTTAACAGTGGTGTCTGAGAAAACTTTGAATTAGTCTGTTTCAAAAAGGAGTCCCCCCCCCCAGACTTTTTGCTTTTTACGTCCAGATGAGTCATTTGTGTCTAAATATTTAAGAGCCTAAAAAATGCTTTAAACCAGCAAATTACTCCTAATGTTATCAGATGGATTATCAACACAAGTAATCTGAGGATAATAGTGAACAAATGTTTAACAGTGTTAAGGAGATTGCATGTAGCAGTTTGTGTAATAAATCTTTGGCTGACTCCAAAGGGGAACTGAATGTGTAATGAGTATGGCACATGCCAGTAACTATTTGCTTAAGGGTTACAAAATCTAATATAACATTCTGATGTTGTCATATTACCTGAAAATGATTTTAATTATCTCCTATTTCCATTGACATTCACCATAATTTAAAGGAGCAACACAAATATATCTAAATCCAGCAAGACACTGTAAAGATAATTAATTTTGTATGGCTTTAACTGTATCTCCCAGGCTCAATACACAAACTTTCAGAGCATTTAACTTAGCTTCTAGTTGTGGTTTTTATTTTTAGCTATGTTTATCTAAGCTACAGAAGTATTTTAAGGAATCTGTTTAACAAAATGGGCAGTTTGCGCTTGTTGGGCAATGGACACTGTGGAAGCGGCCTCTGACTGGAAAGCTGTAAGTGCTGCAAAAACTATAGTTAAAATAAAATCCAGAAATATATTTTTAGTAAAATCCTGATGTAGTTCAAAGAGAATGTGTTGTCCAAAGTCCCCATACTTAAAGGATCATTACGTTACATAGGAACCATAGCAAAGCAAGACTATTAAAGTAAAGGAAGGCTCCCATGAGCAAAGGCGTCTATACAATTAGTGAGGATACAAGTAATACATGTAATTTTGAAGTGTACTCCCCTTTATTTAATAGAGGGATTCTGAGTCAGTTAGATTTATGGAGTTTTAACAGAATAAGTGAGGTCAAATATAAAATGATATGCCATGGTTGGTCATCTTCTCTAATAATCCCATATGTCACCCCATTATCAGGGACAGTGGCTCAAAACCTAATGTTTTCCTCTAAAGATAGTATAAACAGGACATGGCCAATGAGAGGATTTTAGGATGTTATATTCATTCAGACCAGGTGGGCACCTCAAAGACAACTCCACCAGTACCTCAGATCATCCATTCAGAGGTAAGAAGTACTTTAGAATCATGGAGCAAGCCACTCAAGGTGAATTCCATTCTGAAGCAGGGTACAGGAAAGTCACTAAATTCTGGGAAATGTCCATCCAATGGGGTAACTGGTGGATGATCAGAATGGTGAATGAGTTGGTGATGCTTAATTTGATCCCATGTGGACCCTTGAGTCACTCACAAGAGAAGAACATAGTCATACTGTCCCATCAATGACAAACAAATAGGAATAATTTATGATCTACCAATATAGTTAAAGTGAGTAGTACCAGGCAACACATGTGAAACATCAGCATTGCAAAATAAACAAATGTATCATTAGTAAATACTCCAGTAGACAGATCTTCCCTTGTGATTGGATAAGCCAAAGGGAATGTAAGCTATGCAGGCCCAGTAGACTTCTATACTTTCCAGAGTAAGTTTAGAGGTTGAGGCAATGCAAAAGAAATCTACATTCTGAGAAGACTTAGCTGAAACATTCAACGTATGAGGAGTTACTTCTTGAAGTATAACATTAGGCACCCCAGAATGCTCTCACCTAGGAACACAGTATCTGTTTCTGGGATTGTGTACCTCCTATAAAGTAGTATTAAAAATTTTGAATTAGCTGGGCGGTGGTGGCATACACCTTTAATTCCAGCACTCGGGAGGCAGAGGCAGGTGGATCTCTGTGAGTTCGAGGCCAGCCTGGTCTACAAAGCAAGTTCCAGGAAAGCTCAAAGCTACACAGAGAAACCTTGTCTCAAAAAACCAAAAAAAAAAAAAAGAATCAAAAGATCAGCAGGATATGAAGTACAAAGCTGGCCCATAAGGTCAAAGAGAGCTACCTGTCAAGAGTCAGTGAAGACCCAAAGTGAATCAAATAGTGAAGATGTTAAGGGGTGAACTATCAAGTCAATTTATTACGGAATAAATTGATGGGCTTGAGGATTCCTGTTTTCTGGATAAGCTAAGCAAGGATTTCATAGTAAGAAGTCAAGGGACAGCCAGCATCAGTGGGCAGAGAAATCCATTCTATAGGTCTCCTAGGTTGCAAGAGTCAGCCAGGCTGAGCTCCGGGAAACCAATCGATGAGAGAGAGGAGGGATTCTACAGTTGGGGGACATCGAGATCATGATGGAAGTACGTGCAGAGATGACCGGTCACACTAGTGGAAGCCTATGAACCGTGGACTGGTGCCTGAGGAGCCCCCATGGGACTGGACTAGGCCCTCTGGATATGGAAGAAGGTTGTTTGGCTCGAACTCTTTGGGGGGCTCCCAGGCGGGGGATTGGGATCCATCCCTGTTGCACTGGCAGGCTTTTGGGAGCCCAGTGCCTGTGGTGTGATGTGCTTGCGCAGCCTTGGTGCATTGGGAAGGGGCTAGTACCTGCCTAGGCTCAGTGTGCCAGGTTATGCTGACTCCCCATGGGAGACCTTGATTTGGGCATGTGGAGTGGCATGGGAGAGAGGGCTGGGGTTGGAAGGAGGGAGGAAGTGGGATCTGTAGGTGGTATGTGGAGTAAGTACAAAATTTCTCTCTCTCTCTCTCTCTCTCTCTCTCTCTCTCTCTCTCTCTCTCTCTCTCTCTCTCTCTCTCTCTCTCTCTCTGTTTTTCGGAACAGGGTTTCTCTGTGTAGCTTTTCACCTTTCCTGGGTCTTGCGCTGTAGACCAGACTGGCCTCAAACTCACAAAGATCCACCTGCCTCTACCTCCCAATTGCTGAGATTAAAGGCGTGCGCCGCCGCCACCACCACACAGCTCAAAATTTCTTATTAAAGAAAAATGAAAAGAAATGTAAAAAAAAAAAAAGTCAGCCAGAAGGATATGTTGGAGTAGCTAATAGTATAGGAGATAGAAGAAGCTTTGTGTCAATACTTGTCAACTGTGCATGAGTGATGATTCAATATAACAATTGTAATGTGTTTGACTCTTAGGAATAAGCTTTCTAGAAGAGGGGTCGTTATCTCCTCTTACTATGAAAAAATAGAGAGTCAAATCTTTTGTAGTATGTTTCAGGGAAGATATAAGCCAATTCATATTTTCTAAGATCTTTTGAAAATCAATAAATGTTAGTAGTTACATGTGGATCTTTGTGGGCAAATG